AAAGTGGCCACTGGAGGGCAGCAGGGGAGCCGCCGCTGTGGCTCTGCTGGAGAAAGTTGGGGCAGGGAGAGGCCCCGTGGAAACCGGCAGAGGGCAGGGCCACGGGGCTGCAGGGTGGTTGGTTCTGTGCTGATTCTGCAGCCGGGACTGACTCGTGATGAGTGCTTCCCCTCTGCCAGGCACTGTATTAATTAGTCTTCACAGCAGTCTTCTTATAGTTACCCCCACTTTACAGGTAAGAAAACAGGCCGAGAGAAATGAACAGATCTAGCCAAGGTCCCACAGCCAGAAAGGGATGGAGCTAGGCCCACTGGGGCTGGTACTAGAACCTGTGTCCCAGCCCCGAGGTTTGGTTACATCTGTGTGCCCGGCACTGACTAAGTGCTGTAAGTCTTCAGAATCTTGTGATGACCATGGCTATGTCCACTTCACAGATGGGCAAACTGAGGTTGGGAGGCAGCTGGCCACTCACCCGGGTCTACACCTGCTGAATGACAGACCAGGTCAGCATGGGTCATGGCTTGAGCCATGGGGCAGCTCTGGGTTAGTACTTTCCAGCACGGGCTTGCTCTCTATTCCCGCCTGTGTCCCAAGCTGGTCAGCTAATAATGACATCTGAGCTCTCTGCTGGGAGTGGAGTTCAACTCCTCTGCCTTCCAGCAGAAATAGATTCCGGGCTCCTGTGTCCAAGGCTTGTTTGGATTTGGCTAACCAGAGGTGGAAGGAGGCCATGCCAGGGGCTGCTGGAAGCCCAGGGAGGGGTCCTGGGGTCCAGTCTGGCTTGGAGGACCAGCAGTGAGGAGCCTTTCGTAGGGATCAAAGTTCCCTCTGAAACAAGACCTGGCCCCGGGGCCTCTGTTTCCAGGGCAGATGCCTTCAGCATACCAAGGACGAGGCTTGGCCAGCTCTGGGCCGGGCTCTGCCAGGCTGGCAGGAGAGTGGGGACTTTTCCAGGAGGGCCCGACTTCCCCGTCTTCCTGTTCCCATGCCCTGGCTTTGCCCTCTGGGGGGTAGGGGGGATGGCCTACATCTGGGCCTCCAAACGTGTCCCCGACTCGGTGACCAGGCTGTGCCCCGCGAAGCAGTCTCTGTCGGGATTTACAACATGGAGCTGCTTTGGTTAGTTGTGATTTATTAGCCCCGCAGCCTCTGCTGGTCCGGCCTTCCGCTTCTCTGAGGAGGGTGGGGAGAAGTGGGCCAGGGAAGGGACTCACATAGTCTCCCTAGCTCCTCTTTAAACAAAACGCTGGGCTGAACTCCGTTTTGGGATCTGGAATCCTGGAGTTAGTGAAGACTCTTCAAGGGTCCCTGTGGAGACAGAGGGGGTGGATTATGAGTGGGGTCAGGGAAGAGGGATTGGACGTGGACATCACAGCACAGGGTCCTGATCCACCCCCTCGTCGAGGTGTGAGCTTGTGGAAGTTACCTGATCGTGAGCCTCAGCTTCCTGATCTGTGGAATGGGGCTGTGCACACGCTTGTGACAGATGTCTGTGTGTAAATACGGAGGAGGGACATCTGGATACAGTGGCATTGCAGCTCGGGGACGGACTTACACACATCGCTGAGCACTGTTACTGGTGGCATCCACATCTGTTTCTTTAAAGGTCTTCACTGTTGGGAACAGCAGTTAGCGTAATGGCTATGTTGCTGGACTCCCATGAAGTCGACTGCAGTTCGAGTCCCAGACCCGGTGGCTTAAACTCACACTGGGTGTGGGTGCGTGCGTGCCCAAGATCCCAAGAGGAGAATGGAGGAGAAGGGATTGTGGCGTGGCCATCCCCCTGGCGGGGGGTGATTTCTCACTTTCTCTGTCTCTCTCTTTCTAGCGAGTGCACACACCCTATAGCAAAAACATCTAAAAAAAAAAAAAAGGTGTTCACTCTTGTCTGGGGCACTTGGGCAGCTTGCAGGAGTCAGGTTGAAAGCAGAGGCCTTTCTCCTCGAGTTCTTTGTTGCCCTCAGATGGTGGCAGCAACTCTGCTGTCACAGGTGAGGCCGGGGTTGGGGGCCTGGTCAAGGGGGTGGTTTTCCTTCAATCAGACGCACAGGCTCCCAGGACTCGGGACACACCTCGTGCCTAGTACTGCACTGAGTGACTGGCTCTGGTCACCGTTGCCCTCTTGGCCTGGGCTCTGTGCCTCCCGGCCCAAGCAGAAAGGGACCAAGAGTCTTGCCACGGCAGGAGGTGCTGACCCTCCGAACCCCTCTGCTCACTTACTGTGTCTGGGTCTTTGAGCCTCAGTTTCTCCATCTGAATGGTGGGAGTGAGACCCCACCCTTGCAGAGAGGTGAGCCAAGCCAGGCAACCCTGCAGGTTGGAAAATTTGGACCTGCTCACCAGGCCTGCGCACTAGCGGGTGTGAGGATATTCACACACACACGTGTCCCCCCGGCAGCCATGAACCAAGAGGTCAGCCAGCAGGGGGACAGCACAGGCTTGGTCTCGGACGTCTGCACGGCCCCTCCTGCGGTGTGGCCCCTCTCAGGCAGACTCGGGCGAGCCGGGGACGCTAATCCGGCCTGTCTGAAGGCCCAGGTGGAGTAAACTGGAGGAAACGAGTCAGCTCTTCCTGCAGGGAGAGCGGGGGGCTCTGGGCACCTACCGGATGGGGTCACGCCAGGCACGTGAGCCCAGCAGTGTCCTACCGCTGTGCCGCGGCTTTCCTGCCCGCAAGACGGGCTAATACGGCACCACAGGAAGCTCTGGCGGGGCATCACTGAGCGAATGCAGGTGAAGAGCCTGCACCCAGGAAGTGCCGTGGACGCTGGCTGGGTACACGAGTACAGCTCCGCTGGGTAATGAGCATCCCTCGGGAACGCTCCAGGGCCCATTTCTGCTTTGAGTTTCAGGTAGCCGTCTCTGCTCTTCCGTGTGGTTGGAAGAAGCCCCTTCCAGGCTGGCTGTCCTTCAGAACTCTCCTGGAGACCTGGAGGCCCTCGGTGAGCCCCCTGCCCTTCCTGGCCTACACTGAAATCCCCTTCTGGGGGATCACTGAACACGCTGAATTGTAAAGGGTCGGGCTTGTCTCCTGGCTTTAAAATGCAGATGCAGTCTGGGCTGGGCGGCTGGTTGCCCTTGTGGGTGGGACGGGAGCTCTCGGTCAGCTGGGCATATAAGCTTGCCAGCCTCGCTGGGTCCTGGCCTGAGTGGAGGGGCTGGGACTTGTGAGGAGGTGTGGGTCGGGGCGGGCGAGGTAGGAGGAGGAAGTGGGATGCAGTCCAGGACCAAGAGGGCCAGACCAAGGGGCTCAGAGGCGGTGCTGGTGTGCCCAGGGCGCACCCCCCCCCAGTCAGTGATAGATGGGCGGGGGCGGCGGCAGGGTCCTTCTTGTCTGGCTCTGGGGGAGCAAACTGCGGTGCTGAGGGAACAGGAGAGATGGGACGGGATGCAGCTCTGGGGACCCACCCCCACCCTCAGAACCCTGTCTTGCTCTGTCCCCTGCAGGCTGCCAGCCACACGGCTGTGTACTGGCAGGGACTGCCTGCTGGGCCTGGAGACGCCGGCAGCTGTGGACCTCCCAGCTCGGAGCAGCCCCTCTTTGGTAAGTGGCCGAGCTGTCTTGCATGCCCCCTGGGAGCAGCCCTGGCCTGGGCGCCGAGCCAGCCTCCCCCGGGGCACCTGCAAGGTGGCGAGCATTCTCCTTGTCCTGGACCCTGGCATGCCTCTCGCTTTCCTGCTTTCCTCGGTCCCTCCCTGTCCCCACTTCTGTGAGTGGAGGCCCTTGACTGGTGTGGGAGAGCCAGGCCCCTATGTCCCTGGGCCGAGATCTCTGCAGGCTAGGTCACTCTGTCTGGGGTCATCTGGTCCCATGGCCTGGAGCCCCACCCCTAGTGCCAGGAGCAGCCCCTGGGTCCCTGACTCTGCTCCAAGCCTGTTGGGTCTTAGAGACTCTGGGAGCCCCAGAAGTCCACATCTGGCGTGGCTGGTCACTCATACCCAGGGTTAGAGGTGTCCACCCAGCTGCTGGCCTTTCCTCACTCACTCACTCCATGCAGGTCCTTCCTGCACAGGGGCCAGGGCCTGGAGGGGGCGACTGACAGCTCCCCTGCGCTGGGGAGAGGACAGAGGAAAGACGGCCGGCCCCCTGCGGAATGGGGCGCCAGCTGGGGGCCCAGAAGAGGCTGGCAGGAGGCCGGGACTCTGCATTCCCCAAACGCGGGAGTTGGGGGAGTCAGATTCTGGCACAGGAGGCCTCTCTGAGGACCTCAGAGCTGGTGAGATGAAACCTGAGAGTCCAGGTCAGTCTGTAAGTTCCTGAAGCTCCCACAGCGCCCCAGAGACAGCCGGAGAGAGAGCACTGGGCCCCCGACACGAGCCAGCCCTGCCCTGGGGGAGGCCCCTGAGCTCGGCCCCTCTGCCCACAGACCTGGCGTGGAGAAGCAGCCCCATGAAGGTGCCCAGCCATGCAATGTTCCTGGAAGGCCGTCCTCCTCCTCGCCCTGGCCTCCATCGCCATCCAGTACACGGCCATCCGCACCTTCACCGCCAAGTCCTTCCACACCTGCCCGGGCCTGGCGGAGGCGGGGCTGGCCGAGCGGCTCTGCGAGGAGGGCCCCACCTTCGCCTATAACCTCTCCCGCAAGACCCACATCCTCATCCTGGCCACCACGCGCAGCGGCTCCTCTTTCGTGGGCCAGCTCTTCAACCAGCACCTGGACGTCTTCTACCTGTTCGAGCCCCTCTACCACGTGCAGAACACGCTCATCCCGCGCTTCACCCAGGGCAAGCCCCACCTTCGCCTATAACCTCTCCCGCAAGACCCACATCCTCATCCTGGCCACCACGCGCAGCGGCTCCTCTTTCGTGGGCCAGCTCTTCAACCAGCACCTGGACGTCTTCTACCTGTTCGAGCCCCTCTACCACGTGCAGAACACGCTCATCCCGCGCTTCACCCAGGGCAAGAGCCCGGCCGACCGGCGGGTGATGCTGGGCGCCCAGCCGCGACCTCCTGCGCAGCCTCTACGACTGCGACCTCTACTTCCTGGAGAACTACATCAAGCCGCCCCCGGTCAACCACACCACCGACAGGATTTTCCGCCGAGGGGCCAGCAGGGTGCTCTGCTCCCGCCCGGTGTGCGACCCCCCGGGATCCGCGGACCTGGTCCTGGAGGAGGGGGACTGTGTGCGCAAGTGTGGTGACCCTGAGGGTGCCCGCCGAGGCCTGCCGCGAGCGCAGCCACGTGGCCATCAAGACGGTGCGGGTGCCCGAGGTGAATGACCTGCGGGCTCTGGTCGAAGACCCCCGGTTAAACCTCAAGGTCATCCAGCTGGTCCGAGACCCGCGGGGCATCCTGGCCTCTCGCAGCGAGACGTTCCGCGACACGTACCGGCTCTGGCGGCTCTGGTACGGCACGGGCCGGAAGCCCTACAACCTGGACGTGACGCAGCTGACCACCGTGTGCGAGGACTTCTCCAACTCCGTGTCCACCGGCCTCACGCGGCCGCCCTGGCTCAAGGGCAAGTACATGCTGGTGCGCTACGAGGACCTGGCCCGGAACCCCATGAAGAAGACCGAGGAGATCTACGGGTTCCTGGGCATCCCCCTGGACGGCCACGTGGCCCGCTGGATCCAGAACAACACGCGCGGCGACCCCGCCTCGGGCCGGCACAAGTACGGCACGGTGCGCAACTCGGCCGCCACCGCCGAGAAGTGGCGCTTCCGCCTTTCCTACGACATCGTGGCCTTTGCGCAGAACGCCTGCCAGCAGGTGCTGGCGCAGCTGGGCTACAAGATGGCCAGCTCGGAGGAGGAGCTGAAGAACCCCGCCATCAGCCTGGTGGAGGAGCGGGACTTCCGCCCGTTCTCGTGACGGGGCGCCGTGGGTGGGGGCGGGGGCGCTGGGGTCGGTTTTGATAAAACGGACCGTTTTTAACTGTTGCCTTATTCCCCCTCCCTCTCCCACCCTGTCTTCGTGTCCCTCGCGCCCCCTGCCCACCCCGCTCCCTTCTGCCTCTTTTTGTCTCTGAAATTTGCACTACGTCTTGGACGGGAATCACTGGGGCAGAGGGCGCGGGAAGTGGGGTCCGCCCCCTCCCCACCCCCTTCAGACACGCGGTTGTTGGGTCTCTACGTGGACGGTGACAATGTTTACAAGCACCACACTCACACATGCACACACACGCGGGCGGGCACCCAGGAGGAGGGGCGGCAGAGGCGCGCACCTGGCCAGCTGTTCGAGGCCGGGCGCCGGCGCTGCGCCGTGTGGCATCTGCAGGGTGAGGGTGACGGAGCAGCACCTCTCTCTAACTTATGAATCATGTCCATTCCTCCCCTCCCTTCCCTGGTCCTGCCCCTCGCCCAGCACCCCCTTAGAGCAGAGAAACTGCCCCTCCTGCCCCTTGCCTGTCGGTGAGCAGGTTTTTACTGTGAGGTGAACGTGGCCCTGTTTCTTTTCTCCGTCTGTGGCGATGCTGTCTGTCTGTCTGAGTCTTGTGGCTGACCCTGGACCAGTGATGTCTGAGGAATCTTAGGGGTTTCTAATTGATCTTGGGGTCCATCTGTGATAATTTCTTTGTGCCAAAAAGAAAAAAAAAAAAAAGAGTGAGTCAGTTTGCTAAATGATCATTGAAATGCTTTATCTGTGTTTTCTGTAAATAAAGGGGTGCAATAATACCCGGGTGTGATTCTGGAACTTTCGGAATGGGCAGGGCCGACGCCAGCGGGGTCTGGGTACTTCTGGCTTTGGGGAGGAGAGTTGGAAGGAAGTGGGAGAGGTGGGAATTACATGACAAGCCTGTGTTTCAGAACCCTCGTCTCCCTCGTCACCCTGAGTTCCAGGCGTCACTTTCCTTCCATCAGTTGCGCCCAGGAACAGTGTAGGCAGGGATGACATTCTATATGTTTGACGAGCGCTCTAGCTTGCGGAGTCAGAAAGGCCAGAAGTGAGGGTGAGCTCCTGGGAGCCTCCATCTGCCAGCGCTCCCCTTTCATTGCTGTGCCTGGGGCCAGGAGAGTTGGGGAGGGGGACATTTGTGGGACAGGGTGGCTCAGGGTCATGGCTGCTCATCAGCTGGCCTGGAAGTAGTTTAGTATTTTTTTTTTTAATAGATTTTTGCTATAGGGCGCATGTGCTTGCCAGAAAGCCAGAGAGAGACAGACAGAAAGCGAGAAATCACCCCCCTGAGGGATGGCCACACAGCAATCCCTTCTCCATTCCCCTCTCGGGATCTTGGGCATGCACACACATGTACCCGTGAGTTTAAGCCACCGGATCTGGGACTCGAACTGTGGTCGACTACATGGGAGTCCAGCGACATAGCCATCACACCAACTGCTGGTCCCAGTAACTTAGTATTTTAGCAGCTGGTAGAGGTTGACTGGTGTCTACATTGGCCGAATGTCTGCTGTGCTCACTGCCCTTCTTGCCCTGGGCAGTTCGCAGAGTCCTCCAAGCACCGCACCCGTTTTACTCCCAGAAATGAGCTGATTGCTAGGGCGGCAGGATGGGCTCCTGGGATTCCTATGACTCCAAAGCCGACTCTAAGCACCACGTATGAGCGGACTCATACTGCGCGTGTCTTTTTGTAACCGGTTTATTTCGCATCGTCCTCAAGGTTCAGCCGTGCTGCAGCGTGTGTCAGAGCTTCCCTCCCTGTTAAGGCTGAATAATATTCTATTTCTGTTCATTTTGCCGATCCAGTCATCTGTCAACGGACACTTGGGTTGCTTCTGGGTCTATCTACAGAAAAGAATGCTGCTATAACACAGGGGTACAAGTAGCTCAGATCCTGCTTTCAGAATTCTCTCGTGGATGTCCAGAAGTGGAAATGCTGGGCCATACGGGAACTGGATTTTCAATTCTTCTGAGCAGTTGACAGCGTGTGCCATAGCATTTTGCATTTCCAGGTTCTGTCTTCACCGACACGTCTCTTCTTTCTTTTTTTCTTTCCTTCTTTCTTTCTTTCTTCCTTCCTTCCTTTCTCTCTTTCTTCTTTCTTTCTTCTTTCTTTCTTTCTTTCTTTCTTTCTTTCTTTCTTTCTTTCTTTCTCTCTCTCTCTCTCTCTCTTTCTTTCTTTCTTTCTTTCTCTTTCTTCTTTCTTTCTTTCTTTCTTTCTTTCTTTCTCTTTCTCTCTCTCTCTCTCTCGCTCTTTCTCTTTCTTTCTTTCTTTCTTTCTTTCTTTCTTTCTTCTCTCTCTCTCACTTTCTTTCTTTCTTTCTTTCTTTCTTTCTTTCTTTCTCTCTTTCTCTTTCTTTCTTTCTTTCTTTCTTTCTTTCTTTCTTTCTTTCTTTCTTTCTTTCTTTCTTTCTTTCTTTCTTTCTTTCTTTTCTTTTTGGTAGTGGCCATCTTAGCTTGAGGCAGGAGATAAGCTGTTTTCCTTAGTTCTCCCTCGACAGATTTTTAGGTCTGATGTGGGAGACTCTCGGGTGTGTGCCGGAAGATAGGAACCCGGCTTCTTGGTTTAATGCTTCATCTTTCTAAAGTGCTGTCCTTGGCTCTGTGGCTCAAGATGGCTTGCCAGGCAGCGGGAAGGAGAAAAACAGGGCATGTGGGCACCTCCCGGCCTTGTGTGAATGAGCACGACCGTTATGAGGCGGTAGACACCATTTCCACTCGTGTTTCACTGGCTGGAACGTGGTCCCCCAGCCATACCTAGCTGCAAGGGAGGCTGGGAAGCACAGTCTTCTGCCTGGGTGGCCGTGACTTCTAAGGTGGCTTTTAAGTCCATAGCTGATCTTCCTGAGACTCAGGATTCTCTTCTGCAAAATGGAGACAGTATGATTTATACCATCATGCCTCAAGACTGGGAGGCTGGTTTGGAGACCTCTTTTGGGACGGGTGGGGAGGGCTGGGGTTTGTCTCAACCCCTGGTTCATAGGAGCCGCTTCCCCAGCTTGTGGTGGGGAAGTCACCCTGGCAGTTGGCTTCATGGCGGCAGTGTCCAGATGGCCCTCACTCAGCACCCCTGGCCGGCATTCGGAGAAAGCCTGTTCCGATGGAGGCCACGGCTGGTTCGTCTTCTCCCTCTTGCAGTAAGTGAGGTTGTGGCAGTTGTCTCCCAAGGAACCCCCTTCTCTTCATTCACCAACTACCTTGTCTTGACTTGTCCCTGCACTAGGGGCTTCTCTCGTCCGGGTGGGTGGCTTCATGCTGGGACTGGAAGTCACTGGACAACCTGGACGAGTTGGAAAGAATCCCTCTCCTTAGCTGCTGTAACAGAGACTTCAGTAAGGTGGAACGAAAAATTGTGAAATACACACCATGTAAAATTTACCACCTTAACCTTGTTGAGCATGCAGCTCACTAAACACACGTGCAGTGTTGTGTAGTCATCCCCGCTTTCAGAGGAAAGCCTGCTAGTGAGGGAACCATGCGTTCATTCAGATATTTCTGACTCGTCTATGGCACTGGGGAAATGGACATTCTTTCAAAAAACACAGTCTAGTGGAAGGCAGTCAAAAAGATGGCTACACCATGGCCAAAGTGCTATACCCCAGGCCCTATGTGCCACGTGAGTGGGGCTGGGCTCCCTACCCACTTGGTCATTCTTTGTGTCTAGTCTTGGGACTTAGAGGAGTCAGGGAGGGCTTCCTGGTAGAGTTGCCTGAATTGAATCTTGAGGTGGGATCTGGCCCTATGGAGAAGGGTGAGAAGATGTTTCCAGCTGAAGGAGAAGCAGGTACGAAGGCACAGAGTGGAGTGGGAGGGGGAGACACGGGCCATTTATAGCTGAGAGGCTGCAAACAGAAATGTGTGGGGTAGACCACGCTCCAGACCCCACCCATGGTCTCTCATGCTTCAGTTTTTGCTAGGTTGCCAAGGGCAGTTCAGTCTCCAAGAGATTTAGTGAGGAGGACTGATCCTATAAGACAGAATCAGAAACCACAGGGCTTGTCTGTTTTTAGGAGAGACACTGAACTCTTTTTTTAAAAAAGTTTATTTTATTCATGAGAGAGAGTGCAAATGGACATGAGCGAGAAGCAACCTCAAGGGGGTCTTGTCATGCTGTGGTCCCCTTTCCCTGGCCCTCCAGCTTGCTCACATGCATATTTTCAAGCTGACCAGGGGATCCAAACCCGTGGTTGGCCATGTGGCTTCCAGCACTGCAGTTCAGTTTGCTATTGACAGCACCACCAGGCTGGGCAAGACCAAACTGAGAGTCCTCCAAAGTCGTCCTGCCCACCTCCAGCTCATCCCGTGCCATCCTTCCCTCAATTCCTCTCTCTCTAGTCTTCCTCACGTTTCTCAGTCCCTGAGCATGCTGTGATAGGGTGTTGCAGTCATGGCCCCCGTTTGTCCTCCCCTCCCTGTAACCACACCGTGGGGTAGTGTACTCCACGTTGACTCTGAGCTTAGCCAGTGCCTTACTTTGGTCAGTGGGACAAGAGCAAGTACAGAGATGTAGAAAGTGCTCGAGTTTTGGAGTTCGTCCTTTCCTGCTGCTTCTTGGAAGCCTTCGGCTGCCATGGGAAGGAAGCCCAGTGTAGCTTGCTGACAGTGCAAGACTACAAGATGAAGCACCTAGGAGCCCAGCCGATTGTCAGCTAGTCCTCATGACCAGGTAACTGATGGAGATCCATGAGTGAGCTCCAGCCAAGGTCAGCTACAATCTGGTCCAAATCATTGGAGCTGCCCGGCTGAATTCAGTCCAATTTCTGACCTAAAATAGTGTGTGTTAAAAAATGGTTGCTGTGGGGCCAGCAGATGGCATGGTGGTTAGGATGCTGGATTCCTACATGGCTGACCTACACTGAGTCCCAGACCTGGTGGCTTGCTTTCTCACTTTCCTTCTCTCTCTCTCCATGTCTCTGTCTCTTTCTGGTGAGTACACATGTCCTATAGCAAATTAAAAAAATTAAATTAAATAAACATTTAAACAAATAGTTTCTGTTTTAAGCTGCTAAATTTTGGAGTGACTTGTTATGCAGCTAAAGCTAGCTGATACACATGCCATTATCTGTCCCATTGCAGGATTTTTGTACGGACTACCCTTTATGTCTGCATTGGTCCTATTCTCCTCTTTACCTAGTTAATGTCTACTTATTCTTTGGATCTCAGCTTAATTATCAACACTTCCATGGTTTTACCAGATTATCAATAGTTCAGTCATCCTGATTACAGACCCTTATATAGCTGATTATATATCGTGATTATGGGCCTGTATAGCACCTTGTACAGCTCTTTTATAGTGTTTACCACAGTTGTAATTATACTTTTTATTACAGGACCTGGCACACAATAGATGTCCCATAAACACTGGTTGAATGGACACAAGAATGATTAAAACAAGCATTTCCCATCCAATATAAAAGCTTACTTGTCTGGGGCCTTTGTTTGGAAGCGGAAGGCTATTGGGGGACCTAAATGCCCTCACAGGCTGCTTCAGGCACACGAGAGGGGGTCAAGGCAGATTCGTTTCAGTAATCACCCTCCTCTCTGTAGTCCACAGTCGCGAATCTGCACATCAACACTGGTGCTCCTGTCGCCTCCTCCCTGCGCTGTCGCTTGCTGGGTCACTTGCTAACATTGCCAAGGTTAATGCTCCAGAGGAGGACGACAGCAAACACATGCACAGATTTTTAGTTTACAAAGCCTGCTTCCCCTTCTAGGCACCCCTCTGCAGTGGCTGTTTCCTGTTGACACAGGGGACCTCGTTCTAGCCAGGAAATGGTGG